AGATGTTCCACGGGGATCAACCTGTCTAGATTTTCTCATGAAGCAGTTGTCAAGCTTGCCAAAACGTCTGCTCTCAATTTTCTATTCTAGGGATATGTCTGATCTTTACTTGCACAAATTTCTAGATTAATTCTTGCACCTTTCTAAAATAAAGGGTCATATTCTCACCCTTAGCCTCGTAAGCACCCTCTATCTGTCTCACCACGAGTTGTGAGTCACTGTAAATCTCCAGTTGCTCGACTTCCATTGAATGACCTAAGCTGAGCCCTGCTAAGACTGCCTCATACTCAGCTTCGTTGTTTGAAGTTTTGAATTCAAATCTCAGTGCGTATTCAACATCTATCTCATCAGGGGAATTCAAAATCAAATCAGCTCAACTGCCCTGAGCATTGACAACTCTATCTACTGAGAGTTTCCACGTGGGGGAGGTCAGGTACTAACTGCGCTGTCTCTGTAGGTATCTAGTTGTGAATTCTGTAATGAAATCTGTCAATTTCTGCCCCTTAATGGCTGTACTTGGCTTGTATCTGATGTCAAACTCGCTAAATTCAACATCCCATTTAACCAGTCTCCCCAAAGATTCTGGCTCGTACAACACCTACTTCATAGGTTGATCTGTTGGGACTTCGATAGTATGAGCCTGGAAGTAGGGTCTTAGTCTCTTGGCAGTTGTCACTAAGGCTAAAATGAGTTTTTTCATTTTAGGATACTTTTCTTTTGCCCCCCTCAGAGCTCGACTGCAGTAGTAAACTGGTTGTTGAGCTTTGTCCTTCTCCCTTACTAGTGCTGCGCTGGTTGAGAACTCTGAGAGAGCCAGATAAAGGGTAAGTACTTCTCCTTCTAACGGACTTACCAAGATAGGTGGGGAGCTCAAGTATTCTTTCAATGCTTTGAAGGCTTCTTCACACCGAGCATCCCATTGAAAGGCTTTCTTTAAGACTTGGAAGAAGGGCTGACACTTGTCGCTTAATCTGGAAACGAAGCGACTCAAGACAGCTATTCTCCCGATTAAACACTGTATTTCCCTCGTGTTGGAGGGAGGTTGCATATCCAACACTGCTTTTACCTTTTCTGGGTTAGCCTCTATCCCTCTGATATTAACTATGAAGCTCAGAAATTTTCCTACCGACACCCCAAAGGCACACTTAGCTGGGTTGAGCTTCATCTTGTATTCTCTCAGGACCTGAAACAACTCTGTTAGGTGTCTAATGTAGAGCTCTGCCCTCAGTGACTTGACCAGCATGTTGTCAATATAGACCTCCATGGAGGTCCCAATCTGTTTTTGAAACATCTTATTCACTAGGCACTGGTAAGTGGGTCCTGTATTTTTTAACCCGAAAGGCATCACTTGATAGCAGTATGTCCCTTGCTCAGTTATGAATGAGGTCTTCTCTTGGTCACTGGGATCCATTCTGATCTGATTGTACCCAGAGAAGGCATCCATGAAGTTGAGGAGCTCATGTCCCGCGGTGGCATCTACAATCAAATCTATTCGGGATAAAAGAAAACTATCTTTCAGGCAAGCACGATTGAGGTCTGTAAAGTTGATGCAAAGACGCTATTTACCGTTTGTCTTCTTGACTAAGACTACATTGGCTAGCCAGACTGGGTAATCCACTTCTCGAATGACTTTCGCATGAAGGAGCTTGCTGACCTCTTCGTTGATGGCCTTCTGACGCTCCGGGGCGAAGCTCCTCCTCTTTTGCTTAACGGACTTACAGGTTAGATTCACACTGAGCTTGTGAGTGATAACAGAGGGATCAATCCCTTTCATGTCCTCTTGCTTCCATGCAAAAACTTCCTTGTTCCTTTTCAGGAATTGGATGAGGAGATCCTTGATTTACTTGCTCAGCTTGGATCCAACATAAACGAGATGCTCTGATTCCTCATCCATTTGAACAGGTTCCAGTTCTTCTGATGGTGTTGGCTTGGTCTCAAGTTCATCCTTCATGTCAAGCTGATCTAATTGGATGCTCTCAACCTCCTTATTTCTCATGGATGTCATGTAGCATTTCCGTGCTACGAATTGGTCTCCTCGGACCACTCTAACTCCGTTTTCTGTTGAAAACTTCACTGCAAGGTGATAGGCAGAGGGAATAGCCCTTATAGAATTGAGCGAGGGTCTTCCAAGGAGTATATTGTATGTTGAAGGTGCATCAACCACTAAAATTTCACAGTTATTTTAGTCTGACAGGATGGGTTACCTAAGATTAAGATGAGTTGAATTGATCCCAGGGGCAGCACCCTTTCTCTTGAGAATCCCAATAGGTGGGCACTTACTGGTTCAAGCTTTTCCCTTCCTATATCCATTTTGTCGAAAGCAAAAGCAAAAATGATGTCTGTCGAGCTGCCATTGTCAATCAAAACACGATGGACAGTCCTGTTGGCCCCCACAGCTCTTACCACCAAAGGGTCATCATGGGCTTGTTGGCAGCCCTCCAGATCTGATTCTGAGAAAATGATAATCGTGTCTAAGCGTGGAGACTTAGACACAGTCTATACTTTGGGAGCTTCTGTGGCTCTGATTTTCCGCAAATGCGCTTTTTTGGCAGAGCTGAACCCTTCTCCTTCGGCAAATCCTCTAGATATCACTCTGATCTCCCCCATAGGTTGCTGGTGTGGCTCTGGTGCTTGACGCTGAGGGGGTGGAGGTGGGAGAGCTTGATTTTGATTATCATTGGCCACATAGCATTGCAGCTGCCTTCACTAGATTAGAAATTCTATTTCCTTCTTCAATTGGATACAGTCGTTGGTGTGATGACCATGGTATTTGTGAAAGTCACAATACTTCATAGGATCCCTTTTTGCCTGGTCTGCTTTCATCCGGGGTGGCCACCTTAAGAACCTCTCATTTTGCACCTTATACAATATCTGAGACATTGTAGCAGTCAGAGGGGTCAGCTGCCGAGGTGCATACCTTGATTATAACTCTGGTTGTGGAGGGCCGAGGTCATCCCTAACATTTTCTCTTCTTTTCGGGAAACGCTCTCTGTCTCTTCTTGGAGACCTGCCTCGCTCTCTTTCTTTTTTGGGACTTCGTTCTCTCTTCTTTTCTTCCTTCCCTTTTTCCTTTCTCGACGAAGAGCTCCCAACCTTGGAGAGGAGCGCTTCCTCATCATTTTATGTACTTTTTTGCCTTGGCAAGCACCTTCGCCATACTTGCCTGGGGGTTCTTTGAGATGGAAAACATCAAATCTTTTGACTGAACTCCCAGACTTGCTATGAAGGCTGTGATAGCAAATTTTTCGTCTGGGACATCTACCTTCAAGGATTCTGAGTTGAACTGTTGGACATAAGACCGTTGGTTCTCATCAGGTACCTGTTTCACATTTAATAAATGGTAGCTCGGTTTCCTATAGGTTCGAGCTCCGATGAAGTGGGACACAAACGAGATTGATAGCTCTTTAAAAGAGAAAATCGAGGCTAGGGAGAGTCTGTTGAACCATGCTAAGGTTGAGCCCTTCAGGTTGATAGCAAAGGCCCTGCATCTCACCGGGTCTTGATATCCATGCAACTCTATTTGATTTTTGTAGGTGTTGAAGTGGTCTACGGGATCTTTTGTCCCATCGAAAGCATCCACTGCGGCATTCTGAATTTAGGTGGGAGAGAGAAGTGCAGCACCCCAGCAGTGAATGGGGATTCGATTTGCTGCACCAAGACATCTATTCTCATCAGGTATTCTCTTCTCTCCTATTTATAAGGGAAGAAGTCGCTCCTCTCCCCTTCCTTATACTGACTTTACACTTCCTTGTTATGACCATTCCTAGGGGTAGGCGAGGCTCTTTTCCCAAGGTCTGACTATTCTCTCCCACCTCATTAACTTCTCTGAGGGGGTCGAGATACGGTTGCTCCCTTGGTAGTGGATTATTCTAGCCTCCTTGGGCCGGTTGCGTCTCCTGTAGGCGTTGTAGGAGCTTTAAGAGCTCTTCGTTCTTGTTTATCAAATGTTCATTAACAAGACGAAGGGCCTCCATCTCATGATTCATGGGAAGGCCCCCCATGGGTGGATCAGCTTCTTGTGCGTTTTTGGGTTGTCTTTTATTTGCAGCTTCTTATTGATCATGTATCCGTAGAGGGTTGGTCTGTCTTCGGCTCATATTTCGCATTGCTACCATCAGTCACTAAAAAATCAGCTTTATTTGTAACAGAAATAGTCGTTCCCACAGACGGCGCCAACTGATGGTGTAAACTGAATTGTATGAGTAATGAATCGTAATTATGCTTTGCAGTGATAATGATGTGATAATGAAAGAAATGTTTTTCTATGGGCTGTGAGGATTAACACAAAAGAAGTATAGTGGTTTACCAGCTTGGGAGTTCGGCTAATCCACTCTTTAATGGAAACTCTTGCTCCTTGCCTTTCAATAATGATAATTACAAGAGTACAATGACTATTTTTTGCCTCTAGGATCCTCCCTCCTCTTTGGGGGCGTTACGTAAGTATTTATAGGGTTGTTCCCTATTCAGTGGGATCTTAGCCGAGATTCTTGCCTTTACTTCGTGGGGTTCTCCTTAATTCTAGGAGAAGATCTTGGTTGGTTGAGATTAGGTGCCTTGATTATAGCTTCCTAACGCTTTAGGAACCTCTCGTGGTTATCCAGCCGTTGCCTTGCCTCAAGAGACATTCAGCCCTTGCCTTCTGACCTCAGTTAATATGTTTGACCTTCCGGTCTGAGCTGAACTCCTGATTTAACACTTGAAATTTATTTTAGACATCATCAGATATCGACATGGTTGCCACCTAGTGAGCTGCTCTGTTAAGAGCCCTAGGCTTGTGTACAAATTTTAAATTAAGATCAGTAGCATAGCTCCTAATATCGCTGACAAAGGCACTAATTTCCCATGGGAGAGTATCTTCTGTTGAACTTAGTTTGATGGACTCCAGATTATCACTTACAATAGTCACATTTCCGTAACCCAGATGCACAGGCCAGCAAGCACGCTTCTCTAACTGCTGCAACTTTCGAAAATCGACTGGAAACAGTCAGAATTCTCTTAGCTATACCATCCTCCAGTGTCCCATTAAAATCTTTGAGGATCACCCCAATCGCAACTTCAGCCTTTTTGAATGCACCATCACAACACAAAGACAAAGATTGGAGCTGACCTGGGCAGTCCATTAATCGTTGCTGCAGATGAGGCAAACCAACTGCTATCACCATATGTCTCCCCATAGCATAGCACACCGTCTCAAACCATAAGCACTGAGCCCATAACAAAGTGACAAGGGCATTAGGAACAACATGGTTAAACACAAAATTGTTCATGGTATTCCAAATGACCCAACTAATTGTAACCACACACCCCATAAACTCATAAGAATCAGAAATTTTCTTGAAGATATGCAGAAGATCCGAGACCCATTTTAAGACCAAGACAAAAGCACCCTGCTCCAACCACAACCCCAAATAAGACCCAAACCAAACCTTCTTTGACCATTCACATTCAAAAATAATATGCTCAAGAGATTCAATAGACTCACCACAAATAAGACACCAAGGGGAATCAGCACACTTTGATTAAATAAATTCTCAAGTGAGGACAATGCATTGTTACAAACTTTCCGCCAAAAGTGCTTGACTTTAGGAATGGCCATCATATTCCATATAACAGACCAGAGTTTGGGATGAAAAGAGAAGAAGGACAAGGAAGAGAGACAGAAGCAGGTTGAAGATTAACAGCAAGTAAATATGCAGATTTAACTGAATACATACCTTTAGAGTTCGGTCTCCAAATATGCTTATCAACACTAGGGAATTTTGGAATTGGAATAGCAAGAGTATCCTTACCTCCTTTCTCATTAAAAATCCCTCTAATAAATCAAGAATTCCACTCCCTAGTTTGTTGAGAGATTAATTGATTAACCCGGAGGATAGTACAGTCTTGAGGTCTAGATGAACACACTGCTCCGTCTTCAAATTGGGGGATCCACTTGTCATCCCAAATACAAACCTCATTGCCTTCCGAAGCTTGACAAAAAAGACCTTTTTCAAGAAGATCATTGCCCTTAAGCAAGCCATTCCAGACCCTAGATGGCCTCGTCCCCTTCTTAGCTTTCAAAAATCACCATCAGGGAAATAAATAGACTTGATAAACCTTGCCCAAAAGGAATTAGGCTGTTGGATTAATCTCCAACACTGCTTAGCAAGTAATGCCTGATTAAAAAGATAAAACTCTTTGAAACCCATCCCTCCTCGTGCTTTTGCTTCAATCATCCTATCCCAACCTTTCCAGCAAATGTCTCTCTTATCCCCTCCATCACCCCCACCAAAACCTCCTTACATACATATTGATCATATCACAAAAAGACTTAGGGTAAGCAAGAATTGACATAGCATAATTGGGAATTGATTGGATGACCACTTTAATCAAAACCTCTTTACCTGCTTGGGAGAGAAACAGACTCTTCCACCCTTGCAACTTTTTCAAAATTCTCTCAAGAAGGTAACCAAACAATTTACTCTTTGCCTTCCCATGAAAAAATGAAAACCCAAATATTTGATGTCATTATCCAATGGCCTTAATTGCAGCAATTGACCAAACAAAGTTTTTGCTAATCCGTGGCGTTTGCAAAAAAAAATAATACCATATTTTTGGTGATTCAAGCATTGTCCAGAGGCAGAACAATATCTATTACGAACACCCATGACATTAGAGATATCCTAAACCTTTTATTTAAAAAAGAAGAAAGAATCATCCTCGAATAAGAGATGGGAAATAGCAGGGCTTCCTCTTCGAACTTTGACATCCAAAATTTTTTTCTCTGCCACTCCTTTCTTTAACATCGAGAATAAGACATCAACAACCATAATGAATAGACAAGGAGAAATGGGATTCCCTTGTTGTATACCTCTCTGTGGGACAATCTCACAACGTATTTTCCCATTTATAATGATCCATAAACACACAATACTAACAGACTGTAAAATGAGTTGCACCTATCTTAAAGAGAACCCCAACTTAAGCATCACCACCTCCAAAAAATCTCATTCCATTCTATCATATACTTTATTGATATCCATTTTAATTGCCAAATTTGGAACCTTACCTTTCTTTTTAATCCTCATAAAATGGAGAAGCTCATTTGCAACGAAGATGCCAGCTTGAATTTGCCTATTGGGAACAAAAGCAGCCTATTGAGGAGAAACAACGGAAGACATCAAACCTTTCATTCTATTGGCCAAAACCTTTGAGATCACCTTATATAAGAAATTGCATAGCGTAATAGGACGAAACTGAGATATCTTTTCGGGTGACTCCTCCTTAGGAATGAGGACAATGTTTGTCTTATTTAAGTCCCTTAGCATGTATCCTCCATAAAAAACCCCTTAACAACTCTAACCACATCATCCCCCGCAATATGCCAAAAAGAGTGGAAAAACATACTAGTAAAACCATCCGTACCAAGAGCTTTAAGAGCTCCTAACTGCATAACTGCCTTCCTGACCTCTTTATTGTGGATCGATTGGAGCAGAATTGCATTCATCTCCTTTGAAATTTTCCTATCCATTAATCCCAAAACCTCGACAAAATCTCTTTGCCCCACTACAGCGAACAAATCCTGGAAATAACGTTTAATGTGGTCATTCAGCTCCTCCTCTTCAACTGTAAACTTTTGTTGCGTTGCCTTCGCTGAATAGTTGACAAATGAAAAAATCTTGTACTCTGATCCCCGAACTTCAACCAATTAATTCTTGATCTTTGTTTCTAGAAAAGTTCCTCCCTTCTTCTAATGCCAGAAAAGTTCCTCCCTTCTCCTTAAGCATTTGTAACTTTAACAATTGATCATTTAACTCATTCAAATTCCTTTTCTCGTTGCCAAACTTTTGTTTACTCCAAGCTTTAAGATCCTTGCCACAAAATTCTAGCTTCTTTGACATGCTAAACATCACGGAGCCCGGCATCTCTGCCTCCCAACTCTTTTTAATGATTTCTTCACACATATCATCTTCCATCCACATAGCTTCAAATTTAAAAGAAGTAGTTCTCTGCTTAACGAAAGGCTCCAGAATTATGATAATAGGACAATGATCCGAACCCACCCTTGTTTCATGAATGACTTGCATATGGGGATAACACAAACTCCATTTCGGATTAACCATGATTCTACCAATCTCTCTTGCACATTTCCATCACTTGGCCTATTATTAGACCATGTAAATTTTGGCCTTTTAAAATTCATATCAATCAAGTTACATTCGAAAATAAGCCCTTGCAGTTCTTCCATTTTTTTTGCTTGACATGTTCTCCCCTCTTTCTTCTCCAGTAAAGACCCAACCACATTGAAGTCACCTGAAACCAACCACACCCCTTCAGACACAGAGGCAATACTCTTCAAATCTTTCCAAATTCTCTGCCTTCTATCGAAATCATTGTCAGCATAAAGAAAGGTACATTGCCACTTCTTTGATTGATTCTACTTTCTACCCACAACATTAAAAAAATTCTTATTCTTACTAACAATACTCAACTGAACATCTTCCTTCCACCATAAAGCCAGACCCCCAGAATGACCCCTAGGTTCAACGTAATCACTGAATTAAAAATTTAGACTCCTCATCAACCTTTCCAATTTTTGAGTTCCATTTTTAGTCTCCATGGGGAAAGACCAATGTGGGATACTGGGTGTCAACTAACCCTCTCAATTCCAAACTGTCTAGGGTCGTTCCACTCTCTGACAGTTCCAGGAAAGAATTAACATGGAGATTGTGGCTGTTTAAGGCCAGCCACCACCGCCCTTTCAGGATCCATTGCATCTTTGGCATGTTCAATAAAACTATTCGGGGTTTTAGACTTCCATTGGGAAAAACAAAGCTCAAGATTATTCTCACCTTGTTCCTCTTGAATCTCTACAGGTCTTTGATCTCCCTACTCTGCTAAGGAGGCGAAAAATATTTCAGAAAGGGTCAGTTGCCTTTTCCTTCTTCCTTTTCCTTCCTTAGGGCACCGAACAATCCTATTAAATCTTTGTTTTAATCTTCATACATTCTGGACTTGATCTGGGTGAAAATCTTTCTGGATCTCTGGGAAGCAAGATTAACTATCTACTCAAGCAATATACTCTCTTCTCCTTTCTGCTTTTTACTTGGACCTGAGTCACCACAATACTCCTCCATGGGCAGTTCTTTTCTTTTTAGTGCAAGTGATTAGAATTTTCTCTGCATCTTCTTTTCTGCGATCAGCACATCAGCCCCCAACCTAAGTCATTGAGTCCAAACTCCACCCGACCCATTTGATTGGACTTTATCCATACTTGGGTCTCCATTAGCTTATGGGCTTTCTTCAGGTTCCATCACAAAATAACTACTACCCCCTGCGCCATTTTCCACCAACTGGGCTCCATAGGTTGTTGTGTTAATAGCTGGCCCATTATCGTTTGGACAATATCTATCACCCATTTTCCCCTTTAATTGGGCTCCTAAATCCTTATAAATGGCATGGTCCAAACCTCTCTCCATAGCAGATATAAGGATGCAGTCTTGATCAGGAATAGGTGATTCATCTTGTGACTGAATGATTGTTGCTTTTCCACGTGACAATACCCCCTCAGCACTTATCATATCTGCAGCTATAGCCATACCCTGACACATAGCGCTCTCAACTTCTTTATCACGCCACCCTTTTGGAAATGGGGCTTCATCACGCGCCAAAGTTCTGCCATCTTCTCGAACTGCATTCCTTTTCTGATCTCTTCTCCTCTTTTTTTCCTTTGTATTTTGCTCAATTTTAGACCAATTTTCTCTAAAGAAAACACCAGTCTGTGAGTACTGGGCCCTCATCTCAAGTCCAAAATCACCTTGACTACCCAACCTTCTCTTGGGACATTGATTCTGAGTATGGCCAATCCACCCAGACCCATAACAAAATTTAGACAATCTCTCATATTTAAAAGTAATCCACAAATCGTCATACTTCTCACGGGCTAACAAAAAACCCTTCTTCAGTGACTCATTGAGATCAACTTCACACTTCACCCTCAAAAATTTTTTATGCAACATAAGTTCGCCTTCAGACTCCTCCAAACAAGTTGGCTCACCAACAATCTTACCAATTTTTCAAGGAATCTTTGGTCATCATATCAATTGACAATCCCCAAATTTAGACCCAGAACTCCATTTTATAGAAATCATAGTCACTCAAAGAGCTCTGAGGGACATACTTCTTTAGCACATGCAATGGACCCATGACCAACCACGGACCCTCTCCTTGTATTTTGTCTCTATCCTCTTCATCCTTAAACATAAACATGAAAGTATTTTTTTCCCAGTATGTCATAGAGAAACCCTTTGTCGTTTTCCACGAGCCCTGCAGGACATTTGAAACTCCTTGCTTATTGAGGGCAATTTCTGAAAATATTCTCCCCACCATATAAACTTGTTGAACTCCC